CCTGTCCGCTCTCACAGCCCCTCGTCCTCTCCCCAGGCTGCCCACGGCACAGAAAAACTAAACGAAAAAAGTTCGGGGACGTTTCGGGTACCTCTGTCTTTAAGTTTCCCCTTAAAGAGGTGTCTGGGGCCTCCTGGCCGACGCAGCCCAGCCCGGGGTGACCCGGCCGGCTGACCGGATCGGAGACCCCCGTCCCTTCCCTGGGCGCCCCTCCTGCTCACCGCGCCGGGTCTCACGCGAGTCTTCTCCCCCCTCCAGGCGCTCTCCTGCCCCGCCGCCTGCGACTGCCCCCTGGAGGCGCCCAAGTGCGCCCCGGGAGTCGGGCTGGTCCGGGACGGCTGTGGCTGCTGCAAGGTCTGCGCCAAGCAGCTCAACGAGGACTGCAGCAAAATGCAGCCCTGCGACCACACCAAGGGGCTGGAATGCAACTTCGGCGCCAGCTCCACCGCTCTGAAGGGGATCTGCAGAGGTAAGATGCTTGTGGTTTGGCCCCTTTAAAAAAATAATAGTCCCCGTAGTCCAGAAGTTTAGTAATTTTGAGACCATGTATGGTGATGCTTTGTTGTTGGTAGCTTGGCAGAAAGGCACATGATTTCAGCAGTCTGGAATGCAATTCAGTGTGTCTGGGCCCAACGAAAAGCGCATACGGAAAAGTGATTCCTGACTAACTTATTGTTCTGGTCTGCAGTCTCTGGGGAATTGTAGGGAACTTTACCATAAATTGAATTTAACAGCAGAAATATGTATGAGTTTCAGGCCGTGGTTCGGACTCTTAACTTGATCCTCTTCTCCCTTTCTCTTTTGGTGCTCTTTGCAGCTCAGTCCGAGGGCAGACCCTGCGAATATAACTCCAGAATCTACCAGAATGGGGAAAGTTTCCAGCCCAACTGTAAACATCAGTGCACATGTATTGACGGCGCCGTGGGCTGCATTCCTCTGTGTCCCCAAGAACTTTCTCTCCCCAACTTGGGCTGTCCCAACCCCCGACTGGTCAAAGTTAACGGGCAGTGCTGTGAAGAGTGGATCTGTGACGAGGATGGTGCCAAGGACCCCATGGAGGACAGGGACGACCTCCTGGGCAAGGGGCCCACATTCGATGCCTCCGAGGTGGAGTTAACGAGAAACAACGAGTTAATTGCATTTGGAAAAGGTGGCTTCCTGAAGCGGCTCCCTGGTAAGTTAAAGCTGAGCCCCTCAGGCCTGGGACTGAAATACGTTCCTAGTTTGCAGCTTTATAGAAACGAGGACTTGAATCTGTTTGTTGTCAGCAAGGCTCTGAGAAGTCTTCCCTCTTGTTTGTCTCTCTAGCTTTTGGACAGGGCCCTCGCATCCTATACAACCCTTCTCTCCACGGCCAGAAATGTATCGTCCAAACAACTTCATGGTCTCAGTGCTCTAAGACCTGTGGAACTGGTATCTCCACACGAGTTACCAATGACAACCCTGAATGCCGCCTGGTGAAAGAAACCCGGATCTGTGAGGTGCGGCCTTGTGGACAGCCGATGTACAGCAGCCTGAAAGTAAGTTTCTGCGTGGCAGGTACCCGTTCCTGGGCAGCTGGGGGAGATGGGAGCCTCTCTTCCAAGAAGGAACCCTTGCCCCTAACTTTCCTTCTCTCGGCTTTCTTACAGAAGGGCAAGAAATGCAGCAAGACCAAGAAATCCTCGGAACCGGTCAAGTTTACTTATGCCGGATGTTCAAGTGTGAAGAAATACCGGCCCAAGTACTGCGGTTCCTGCGTGGATGGCCGGTGCTGCACGCCCCAGCAGACCAGGACGGTGAAGATGCGCTTCCGTTGTGAAGACGGGGAGATGTTCTCCAAGAACGTCATGATGATCCAGTCCTGCAAGTGCAACTACAACTGCCCGCATGCCAGTGAGGCCGCGTTTCCCTTCTACAGGCTGTTCAATGACATTCACAAATTTAGGGACTAAATGCCACCTGGGTTTCCAGCACAAGGGTGGACAGAAGGGGGAAAAGAGTGCCGGAATCATGGAGGCATGGGTGGGGGCGGTGGGGGTGAAGGGACTCATTGTAGAAGGGATGCATTTGCTCATTCTTGAGTAGTATTAAGGTATTTTGAAACTGCCAGGTGTGCTGGTGCAGATGGACTCTAATGCAGCCGCAATTGGAGAATACTTTGCTTCATAATATTGGAGCACATGTTAGTTACTGCTTCATTTTGGAGCTTGAGGTGTCGATGACGTTCTGTTTTCTGTTTGTAAATTATCTGGTAAGCGTATTTTTCTCTAGGCTTCTTTCCTTTCGGTTCTGCGATTGTAAGATAGTAAGATTAGTTGGACAGTTAAAGCCTTCATCCTTTGACAGAAGTACCCGGGAGGGGGTTCCATTCCTTCCTGAAGGTGACACTCTGTGAGTGTCCGTGAGAGGCAGCTATCTGCACTCTAAACTGCAAACAGAAATCAGGTGTTTTTAAAACTGAATGTTTTTATTTATCAAAATGTAGCTTTTGGGGAGGGCGGGGAAATGTAATACTGGAATAATTTGTAAATGATTTTAATTTTATATTCAGTGAAAAGAATTTATTTATGGAATTAATCATTTAATAAAGAAATATTTACCTAATATCTGAGTGTATGGCATTCCATATTTTTAGAGATTGTCCAAAGTCATGGGAAGCAATCTAGCTTATCCACTCAGTCATTCAAACCGGATTTAGTGCGTGTCTGCTTTGTGCCAGGATATGTTCTAGTGCTTGGGATAGAACAGGGAAATGACCTACAAAAATAAAACAATGATTGCTTTTATATCTTCAGTAGAGAAAGAGCGTTGCATTTAAAATAATCTGCATTAAAAAAACGTATTGAACACCAGGCATTGTAAGAAGCACCAGAAGGAATCCAAAGCCAACTTTGTGATTTAAATAATAATGCATTGTTTTTATAAGAAATCAAAGCCCAGGGGTCTCCCTCACCCAGTCACTGTGAGGTGGGTACAGTAATTTATCATTTTAATCACCAGGTTATTGTGCATGTCACTTCAGGAGAGAGAAACTTTAATGAAAGCAGTCCATAGCTTGTACATATCTACACTTGGGTAAGATTAAGTCTGGTTGGATAATGTGTTATAAAAGATGGCTTGTTTATAACTTCATATTTCACCAATGTTGTTTCAAAAACTACTTAAAAATTCGCCCTCGGTTGGGATCAGAGGGGGAAAAAAACTTTGAGTCTATAGGAGTCCGTTTGTTTTCATTGAATAAGCTCGAAGCAATGACTTGTGCTAATCCTAATAAGCTGGTGATTAGGTAAACATGCTGCTAAATGCAAAGGAATGCAAGGAATTTCAAGTACTTTTCCACTAGCATGAGGACCAAGCTAACCCATCCCCCTTTCCTTCTTATAATATACGTTATACCGATGGAGGCAGAAGCAGTTGATAGAGTTGGCTATCCAGAAGGTCAAAGGCTAGCTGCAGAGGTTTCCTGAAAGAAAGGGACCTGAATCATAAGTCTAGGAGGGGTTGGGAAGGCTGCGTCAATGTTTGTGAAAATGCTGGTAGCCTGTTTTAGAAGAACCTACATCTTTAGAAAGCGCTGACAATAAACCTTTTATAGAGAGAAGTTTTCCTTTCATCGACCCTCTTGGCTCCTGTTCAAATGCACAGTAAAATATTTCAGTCTGCACTTGATTAAGAGAGTACTTGAATTTTTAGGCAATAAGAGAAAGTGCTTTCAAAGGGGAGGAGGGGGACAGTTCCCAGGGTCCTATAATGGTGATTTTTCAAAATAGTTTAATTGTGATGCTTTAATGAAGACCTACAGAAAAGCAATGCCTTAGCACTGGTTTTAAAGCCTTACTGAAATGCGTAAAGGTTTACATAAATGTGTTGGTAAAATTTATGGGCAAAGGCCTTCACTCTTCTGATTTTGACAATGTCTCGCCTGAAATATTATAATCTGTGCCTATGCGTAGTCAGTGTTTCTCGCCTGAGGCATTCAAATGTAAGGTATTTGGGAATTTAAACACCACCTGGTTCAGTCTTGGATGCAGTTAAACTTGTCAGTGCAATATAATATGTGAAACATAATAAAGGTGTGAGATTTTTGAGGTGCAGTCGTGTTGAACAGACATCTAAATTCATTGGTAAAATTTACAGATTCCCAGGCGCCAATCCTGAGTTATTTTCCTCCAACACTAGTGCCTAGCAAAGTATTTCATACACAGAGATCAAGGAATGATAAATTAC